TACAACTAAAGATACAGTGAAAAGGAAGAATGCTGCATAAGACTTCCTTACTTTGCTGTGTAAAGGAAAGGATAAACATGAGGTCATAGGAGGTTAAACATGATGGTCTAATAAACTGCTTTTCTTAGAACACTGTGAGTGACTGAGGATTTTTTCTTTGCTATATATTATTTTAATTTTCTGGAAGTGCATACCCATCTTAATGCTCTATTTTGTCCTCCTCTTATTTTCCCTATTCTCTCTCAATATCAAAATGTCTCCTTAAACCTACTTCTGTCAACCTCCTAACAACTTCCACATTAACCCCTCTATGCTGCACTCCTCCCTTATCTCATCTCATGCCCTGCACTCTTTTCTCAGCCATACACAACCTCTTCATCTCAAATTCGTTGTCCCCCTCTGATACTGCTACTCCTGCTCCCTTATGTTATGATGGTTCTCCCACACTCCTAGATCAAACAATTGTTAAGGAGGTGTTGTAGGCATCCTTCTCTCCCCTGAATGTACCTTTCAACCTATCCTCCCTGCACCTGCCCTATTCCTTTATTTCCTTTGAAGTTCACACTGTCCATCTATTTAAACCCACCCTCTAAGAATTGACTTAATTTATCTCCCTCTCCCCCCCGGTAATCCTAGACTATTCGTTGAACACTTTTCTTCCTGGCTACCCTCTTTCCTCTCCTCTAGCACTCTTTCCCTCATTCTTGGGAACTTTAAAATCCCAATCAGCAACCCTAACTGCCCTGATGCCTCTCAACTGCTCTCTATAACCTCATCCGTTGGACTCACACCGTGGTCTAATTCATCAACTCATAGAGAAGGAAACATTCTTGAACTCATCACCAATCTCTGAATCTCTCCAATGTTCAGTTTCCTCTATCTGACCACCATCTCCTGTCCATTGACATCTGCATACCCTGTACCAAAAGTACATCCCCCTCACCATATAAGTCTTACAGAAACCTCCATTGTCTTGACCTACAAGAATTCTCCACCAACTTCAAAAGTCTACTTTCACCCATCACAAATCTCACCTACCCTAACACTGCAACCTCCCTCTACAACTCCACTATTTTCTCTCAACTAGACATCATGGCATCTCCTACACTTAAACGCACTAAGCGCCCTCAATTACAACCCTGGCACATCAAGCTGACCCGATACTTCCAAAAATGTTCCAGAACTGCTGAACACTGCTGGAGAAAGTCTTGCTCTTTGTCTGACTTCCTCCACTATAAATTTATGCTGCGCTCCTACAGTCTGTCTCTTTCCTCTTCAAAAGAAAACTACTTCAATACACTCATAACCACAATCTCCCACAAGCCCAAATGACTGTTTCGTGCTTTTAACTCTTTTGTGCCCTATTGTGTCTCCTCCTCCTAACAACTTGACCACCACGAACTTTGCAACTCACTTCACTGAGAAGATTTCTACAATCAGGGAAGAGATCTCTCATTTCTCTCCATCCACTATCAACTTTTCTCCTAACCACACTCCCTCAGCGGTCCTTTGTTCATTTGCACCCGGTACAGCAGAAGAGGTTTCTGCTCTGCTCCATTCCTCCCACCACACCACCTGTTCCCTCAATCCTATTCCCTCATATCTCATCCGCACTTTGTCTCTTTCTCTTGCTCTGCCTCTCACTAAAATGTTCAATCTCTCCCTCTCCTCTGGCACATTTCCTCTACCCTTCAAATATGCAACCGTGAACCGATTCTGAAAAAGCCCAATCTTGACCCTAATACTCCTTCCAATTACCGCCCTATCTCGCTACTGCCATTTGTCTTCAAGATCCTTGTGACAGTTGTGTCCTTGAAACCAACTCTCTGCTTGACCCGTTTCAATCTGGATTCAACTTTCGTCATTCTGTTGAAACAGTTGTGACCAAAGTATCCAATGATCTTATCACTGCAAAATCCCATGGCCACTATTCTATCCTAATTCTCCTCACCCTTTCTGCTGCTTTTGACACTGTTGATCATTAACAGCTTCTTCTCATCCTCCAAGATCTTGACCCTAATACTCCTTCCAATTACCGCCCTATCTCGCTACTGCCATTTGTCTTCAAGATCCTTGTGACAGTTGTGTCCTTGAAACCAACTCTCTGCTTGACCCGTTTCAATCTGGATTCAACTTTCGTCATTCTGTTGAAACAGTTGTGACCAAAGTATCCAATGATCTTATCACTGCAAAATCCCATGGCCACTATTCTATCCTAATTCTCCTCGCCCTTTCTGCTGCTTTTGACACTGTTGATCATTAACAGCTTCTTCTCATCCTCCAAGATACTGGTGCTCTTCCTACCTTTCCCAGTGCTCATTCAGTGTTTATTTCTCTGGCTCTGCCTCTACTCTCCAATCCCTCTCTGTTGGTGTTCCCCAAGGGTCTGTCCTTGGTCCCCTATTGTTCTCAATCTATACTGCCTCCCTTGGTAAACTCATCAGCTCCTTTGGCTTCCAGTATCATTTCTATGCAGATGACATGCAAATTTATCTGTCCTCCCCTGATTTCTCACCACCCCTCTTGACTTGTGTCTCTGAATGCCTCTATGCTATTTCGAACTGGATGGTTGCTCATTTTCTTAAACTGAACCTATCCAAAACAGAACTTCTGGTCTTCCCTCCCTCAAGTGTTGCTAATCACTTGTCTGTGTCCTTCCAAGTCAATGGTGTAACCGCGGCTGGTTCCCTTATTTACCACTGTAATGTCTTAAAGTATAGAACTTAGCAGGGCTAACCATACAGATATCCATAATTTCAGATATTTAGTAAGAGATCCTCTATTTAAAATATATAAATAATTGAGAATACAATATAAAATAAGGATTGTCTTGGAAGCAATACAGTTTTGTCTTTTTAGATATCTAAAGACATATACAATTCATATAAAAGACATAGACATATACAATTCATTACAATAATTTATAGCAGAGTTTATAAGATTAAACTAAATGCTTGCAAATATCATGAATAGATTAACATACCCTCCTGAACATGTCATCAAGTCAGCCTCTCTGTCATTTTAAGATGGAGCAGCGTCTGTCTCCAAATCTTTCCTCTGTCCCTTAACATTTAAAAGTACACCTATTTATACCTTAGGTGTCTTCATTTTAGGGTTACCATAGTTCATATATGAAAAAGTAACACTTATTTTACTTTATTCATTTTAGGACCTCCCTTAACAAAAATACAAGGCCATAAAAACGTAAGGGTGCACACATCATGGGAAGTTCGCTGACTTGAGACAAGATGGCATCTTAAAGTCTGAACATCTTTATCTATTTAGGGTTACTTTAGTATATTATGTACTGAAAGAGTTGTAGTTGTAGCATAGCATTAAAGCTTGTTTATGCATTATTGTTATTGTGTTTCGTCTGGGACAAAGTGGCGTAAATATATTATGCACTGAAGGTAAGTAAGAGGTTATTGCTTAAGGAAACATGTATGAAAAATAATATGTTCCATTTCTAACACCTTGTCAGTTTGCAATATCTCTTAAAGACAAAGTACACAGTTTGAGGAATAAAATATTTAATTCTAAAACTTGTAATATTTGCATTTACCCATAACAATGGCACTACCATCCGCTCTACCTCTAAGGCTCGATGCCTAGGTGTTCTCTTTGACTCCAACCTCTCCTTAACCCCTCATGTCCAATCAATCGCCAAATCCTGACGCTTCCAACTAATTGCGCACATCCGACCCTATTTAACGCCTGTCCATGCCGCTGTCCTCTCTCGCCTTGACTACTGTAATCCACTTCTCAGTGGTCTTACGTGTTCCCAATTTGCCCTGTTACAGTCTATAATGAATGAGGCGGCAAGGCTTATCTTCCTGTCCGCCTGCACCTCCCATGCCTCCCCCTTTGTCAGACCCTATATTGGCTTTCCTTAAGATATATGCAGGGGCGGACTGACCACTCGGGCACTTCGGTCATGGACCGAGGGCCCGAGGCAGTCAGGGGCCCGGCAGCACAGCCATGCTCCAGCTGGAGAGATCAGAGATCAGAGATCTCTCCAGCTGGAACGGCAAAATAATAAAATAAAACTATTTAATTGATAGGTTGTGGGGCCCCTGATGCAGCGCGGGGCCCCACAACCTACCGCTCTGCACATCCCCCCCCATGAGACCTGGCAGCTTCACCTCCTCCCTGCCAGGTCTCCGGCTTCCTCTCCCATGCGGCTCTGTGTGATGGGAGAGGCGGGGCCAGGAAGTGACATCACTTCCTGTTTACTCCTCTCACACAGAGCCCAGCATGGAGAAGGAGCAGCAGGCGGGGAGAGAAGAGGGAGCAGAGATGCAGGTAGGCACCAACCACCCCCTTCCCCCCCCCTCACTATCACCAGTCACCCCCCTCACTGTCACCAGTCACCCCCCCACTGTCACTAGTCACCCCCCACTGTCACTAGTCACCCCCCCACTCTGTCACCCCCTCACTGTCACTAGTCACCCCCCCACTGTCACTAGTCATCCCCCCTCACTGTCACTAGTCACCCCCTCACTCTAGTGACAGTGAGGGAGGGTGTGACTAGTGACAGAGTGAGGGAGGGAAGTGGTGACTAGTTGACAGCGTTAGGGATGGAAGGGGTGACTAGTGACAGAGTGAGGAAGGGGGTGACTAGTGACAGAGGGAGGGGTGACTAGGGACAGAGGGAGGGAGGTGGTGACTAGTGACTAGTGACAGTCACCACCTCCCTCACTCTGTCACTAGTCACCACCTCCCTCACTGTGTCACCCCCTCCCTCTGTCACTGGTCACCCACTCCCTCCCTCACTCTGTCACTAGTCACCCCTTCCTTCCCTCTGTCACTAGTCACCCCTTCCCTCACTCTGTCACCTGTCACCCCCTCACTCTGTCACCCCCCTCACTCTGTCACCCCCCTCACTCTGTCACTAGTCACCCCCCTCACTCTGTCAATAGTCACCCCCCTCACTCTAGTGACAGAGAGAGGGAGGGGGTGACTAGTGACAGAGAGAGGGAGGGTGTGACTAGTGACACAGAGAGGGAGGGGGTGACTAGTGACAGAGAGAGGGAGGGTGTGACTAGTGACAGAGAGAGGGAGGGGGTGACTAGTGACAGAGTGAGGGAGGGTGTCACTAGTGACAGAGTGAGGGAGGGTGTCACTAGTGACAGAGAGAGGGAGGGGGTGACTAGTGACAGTCACCACCTGCCTCACTCTGTCACTAGTCACCCCTTCCTTCCCTCACTCTGCCACTAGTCACCCCTTCCCTCACTCTGTCACTAGTAACCCCCTCACACTAGTGACAGAGTGAGGGAGTGACAGAGAGAGGGAAGGGGGTGAATAGAGACAGAGTGAGGGAGGGGGTGACTGTCACTAGTCACCCCATCCCTCTCTCTGTCACTAATCACTCCCTCCTAACTCTGTCACTGTGTCACCCCCTCCCTCACTCTGTCACTAATCACCCCTCTGTCCTTAGTGACAGAGTGAGGAAGGGGGTGACTAGTGACATAGTGAGGGAGGGGGTGACTAGTGACAGAGTGAGAGAGGGGATGACTAGTGACAGAGAGAGGGAGGGAGGGGAGGGGGTGACTAGTGACAGTCACCACCTCCTTCACTCTGTCACTAGTCACCCCCTCCCTCACTCTGTCACTAGAGTGAGGGGGTGACTAGTGACAGAGTGAGGGGGTTACAGAGTGAGGGAAGGGGATGACTGGTGACAGAGTGAGGGAGGGGATGACATGTGACAGAGTGAGGGAGGGCGTGACTAGTGACAGAAGGAGGGAGGGAGTAGTGACAGTGAGGGAGGTGGTGACTAGTGACAGTCACCACCTCCCTCACTCTGTCACTAGTCACCCCTTCCTTCCCTCACTGTGCCACTAGTCACCCCTTCCCTCACTCTGTCACTAGTCACCCCCTCACTCTAGTGACAGAGTGAGGGAGTGACAGGTGACAGAGTGAGTGACTAGTGACAGAGTGAGGGAAGGGGTGACTGTCACTAGTCACTAGTCACTCCCTCCTAACTCTGTCACTGTGTCACCTGCTCCCTCATTCTGTCACTAGTCACCCCCTCCCTCACTCTGTCACTAATCACCCCCTCTGTCCTTAGTGACAGAGTGAGAGAGGGGGTGACTAGTGACAGAGTGAGGAAGGAGGTGACATAGTGAGGGAGAGGGTGACTAGTGACATAGTGAGAGATGGGGTGACTAGTGACAGAGTGAGGGACGGGGTGACACAGTGACAGAGTGAGGGAGGGAGTGACTAGTGACAGAGAGAGGGATGGGGTGACTAGTGACAGAATGAGGAAGGGGGTGACTAGGGAGAGAGGGGGTGATTAGTGACAGAGTGAGGGAGGGGGTGACTAGTGACAGAGGGAGGGGTAACACAGTGACCGAGTAAGGGGGTGACTAGTGACAGAGTGAGGGAGCGGGTGACACAGTGACAGAGTTAGGGAGGGAGTAACTAGTGACAGAGAGAGGGATGGGGTGACTAGTGACAGTCACCCCCCCCTCACTCTGTCACCAGTCATCCCCTCACTCTGTCACTAGTCACCCCTTCCCTCCCTCACTCTGCCACTAGTCACCCATTCCCTCACTCTGTCACTAGTCTCCCATTCCCTCCCTCTGTCACTAGTCTCCCCCTCTCCTTCCCTCTGTCACTAGTCACCCACTCCCTCACTCTGTCACCAGTCACCCCCACTCACTGTGTCTCCCCCTCACTCTGCCACCACTCAACCCCTCCCTCACTCTGCCACCAGGTACCCCCTCACTCTGCCACCTGTCACCTTCTCCTTCACACACTCTGTCACCTGTCACATATGCATTCACACAGACACTATATACAAAAAAGCACATGTAGTCATCCAGACATGCACAAGTGCATTTACACAGACTCAAATACAAACATGCATTGATACACAGGTCTTCACAATACACACATCCAAAGGAATGCCGTATTATGAATTATATTTAACATTTATTAAAATGCACATATATTTGGCCTTCAAAGGGCCTGGGATCTAATTTTGCCCGGGGGCCCCAAAGGCTCTCAGTCCGCCCCTGGATATATGACTCAATTTAAGATCCTGATACCTGCTTACAAATCTCTACACAATGCTCCTCCAACCTACTTATCCTTACTAATACACAAATATGTCCTGTCTAGGCCCCTACTCTCCGCCGGAGACCTACGTCTAACCTCTGTTCGTACTCCTACCTCTGATGCTCACCTTAAAGACTTCTCTAGGGGTGCACCGTTCCTATAGAACACCCTTCCCATCTCTGTTAGACTTTCACTCAATATCCACTCCTTCAAAAAATCTTTGAAAACGTACTTCTTTATGAAAGGATATAAATTAAACTGTGAACAGCTTTGCCTCCCCGCACCCTGATTCCTCTCCTGAAACTGTCATTTCAACAAAACACTAAGCCCTCAATAAACACTATGCTAGCAACCTACTTTTCTACCCTACTCTTACCTTTTGTGTCCCATTACCGCACTTCCTCTAGCATGTAAGCTTATTGAGCCCTCAATCCCTCTGTTCCTGTGTGCCCAACCCGTCTGGTTACAATAATTGTCTGTTAGTCCACCCATTGTACAGCTCTACGGAATTTGTTGGCGCTTTATAAATAATAATAATAATATGTATGGGTTGTGCTGGCTTTGCTCAGTGAAACACCCTATTGTTCTGTGAATGAGTACAATCCCTCTTCTTTTTTTTCTTTTTTTATAGGAGGTCAGATAATATGAAGAATGCATTATCAAAGTCAAGAAACCAGGAAGAGAAAGAAGTCCGAGGTAGAAGATGAAGAAAGGACATCAACACAAACCATCTGGGTTTTGTTATATAGAATGAATTGAAAATTTGAAAGTATATTTCTGTGGATACAGACATGGTCTGATCAATAGACTTGTGCAAAAATATTTTGATCAGTTCAGCAAATTACTTTTAATCCACAACTGAATGAATCGATGCATCTGGGACTTTCCTGTGGAGTCCAATTCAATGAATATGACTCCAAAAGTAAATCATGAATGGATCGATCAATTGGGGTGTGAATCAAAACTAATTTGACGAACTGGTCCAAAGAAATATTTTCACCAGTCTACTTTTTGAATAGTTACTGCAACATCAAAGGGAAACACATTGAGTATTATGAAACAGACAGCCTTTATCAGCATTGGGGCAACTATTCAACTGTCTCTGTTTAAGTAGCACTAACTACAATAACTTGGACCCCACCCACTAGTGCATTGCAAAGTTCGACCTCAATGTACATGATGTTAATCTTAATCCTTAAAAATTTCATTAAGATATAGCTTAATTCTCAGCCAACACCACCAAAGGCAATCTAAAAGTGCTCCTAGCAGATATATAGAGACTACTGGCTGCTGACATAGCCCTGATCAAAAAAGATATGCAAACAGTCACAGATCGAATCACTACCACAGAAACAGACATAGCAGGAGTGCAGAACAATATGACCACCCTGAAAGACTCACTCCAACAGCTACACACGGAACAGCAAGTACTAGCAGCCTAAATAATGTCCCTCGAAGACAGACAACGGCGAACACGCATAAAAATCTGCGGCATACCCAACACCCTCACCACTGAAGAACTGCCGCACCACATGCGATGCCTCCTGGCAATGATCCTGTCACACCCAGTAGCAAAGAAAATCACTCTGGATGGTATATATCGTGTAACAAGTTCTGTCCGCATCACACAAGATACCCCCAGAGATGTCATCTTACGCTGTGTCACCATACATGACAAGATTCAAATAATGACTGCCCTGAAGGGCAAAATGCCACTAGAATTTGAGGATGCAAAACTTTTATTTTTTCAAGATTTCCCCAGAGCCACGCTACTTAGACGTAAAACCTTTGGTGCCTTGATGACCACCCTACATAAAGCAAACATACCATACAGATGGGGCAACACCGGCTCCCTACTCGTCCATCATGAGGGAACCACTCACAACCTCACCTCCCCAACGGGAGCTCTGGCATTCCTGCCTGCCCTGCGACTCCAACCGGGGCACTACAGAAGACAACCAAAACACAATCTGGGACCAAACAGCTAGCACTTCAAATGGACCAGCGATGAAGAGCCTGCAGCCCCCGAATACCTGATGCAAGACAGGACTGAGATAACCCTATCTATGTTCAGCCCTATGGCTAACTAGACACCACATCTTAACTGAATATCAGGACTTTTATCCCAAGCAAAGATGAATCTATAGTTTTATATTCTGTTGCATAATGTTCCTTTTGTTTTTTGTTGTTGTTCTTTTTTTTTCTCTCCTCTTCTCCCTTTTCCCTACCTCTACACACACACAAACTGGCCTCTAACCATCAGGCTGTCCAGAGCCGAATGGCATCCAAAACACCCCCTCACCCCTAATGTCCCCCTATGACAGGGGTATCCTTAGGCATGCCAGACCACCACTGCAATACCGTACAAACCACAACTCTCACACACTTGATGCTCGCTCTGCACATAGTGCCCACAAGACACACACACCCTGGCATTACCTACACACCAAGACCAACCTGACAACACACATGAGCAAGCTCCAATGCAGCAATGCACCCTCCTGAAACTAAATGAGCACACCTATAACCATAACCATGTAGTATCCCGGGAGCGCAACACGCACCAACACTTAGCATGCTAACATTTTGCTAGACCTGGGCATGTCACCTAACCTGATAAAAAAAAACAATGTGCCTACCAAACACATCTCAAAAACCACCCTGCTAATCACCTACAATGATGTCAAAACAAATGTTACAGTTAGAGTTACATGCTTGAAAGTTGGAAATATGCTGAGATGTTAGTTGTCTTTTCTCTGTACAGCCGAGCACAGAAAAATAAAGAATTAAAAAAAAAAAAAAAAAGATATAGCTTAATTACTTTGCATACTTGCAAACATGGTGTTCACGATGATGTTAAAAAGAACTAACCTTTAAGTGCATGTTATTGTAATTCAGTGAAATGTCTCTGAAAGCGTGGTAGCTCAACATTAACAAATTGTGAGCTCTGACACATCTGATGAACATATCAATGGTAACATAACTAGAAATTAAATCTATTTGTTGATATAATTCATATTTTCTGTTAGGTAAGCTGAGGAATACTGTAGAAGCATTGTATTGATAGGATGATGAGAAACACAGTGGCATTCTTGACAATAAGCCAATGTGAGTGTTCTGTTTAAATTTTGGAATTTTGCTAGGTACCATAAATCTATAACAGCTCAATA